TAGAGGTGGTGAGAGATGCTTTTGCACGAGCGAGAGTCAGTTTATAGACAACTGTTTAAAAAGAGTAATGTTTAAAGGTGGGGTAGGTACGTTTGAGAAACCGGCTCGAGATACACTTTTTGTTATATTCCATGGAATGCTCTTAACATCCCGATAGCAATGAATATCTGAAGTGCTTTGACAAAAAATCCATAAGCAAATGTCATCTGTGGAAGCCGTGGCGCTGTAAAAAGCACGACCAATCACCTGAGCCGGCCCGGCTAAAATAACTGGATGGCCTACCTGCCTGTCAGCCTTCCATCTGTGCACAAACAATGAAAAAAAAAAGAAGACCTACCCCACCTTTAAAGAGATGCAATTTATGCGTAAAAAAAAGTGTCCATGTCATCTGAATCTTTGTTATAAAGACATTTAAAAAATATATATCTTCCTCAACGATTTGGCATCTTTTCCAAAAGCACATTGAGTTTTACTTTACTAAAAGTCGATCCTTTTTAAACGCTGTTAAGGTCCAGAAAAAAACATGTATTTCTGCGTATCCACGCGGATGTAAAAGCGTGAGTTTGGGCACATGATTATTGTTGCTTTGTGTAATGAGCGTGCACCTAAGAGAACAAAAACAATGGCGGACTACCAACGGTTTTTACATTAAATACAATTTTGTAGCCTTCTCCTTTGCTACCCCACCCTCTGGAACTCCCTTCCACAACACATCAGAGACTGCACCGACCCCCCCACTTTCAAAACACTGACCAAAACATACCTCTTCAGACTGGCTTTTAAGTTGTGAATGATGTTGTGTTGCTTTTTTAATATTTTTTTCCACTGCTGGTACGTTTTGACATGCGTGTTTCCTGTATTTAGTTGGTTTTGCACCCGTCAAATGATCTACTACGGACGACTGGGTTACGCTGGTGCTTGATCTACTGAACTGGGAGTCAGAGGTCAGTCCCGGAGCAACATGTTGTATTTCAGATGATGGGAAAGTTGTGCTTCTTTATGTCTCCCTGCAGGCTACTAACTTGGCTCTGTGATCTGAGCGTCAGACGTTTATCTGTGTTTCTCTTCAGTTCTGAAATAGAAAATGATAAACAGCGACGATGAACTGCACTGCAGGTTACAGGTGGTGTAATCACTCCACTTCTCTTCCAAAATAAATCTGCTACGTCAATGAACAGATAGCACGGGCGGATGGACATTTTCAGCGTTAGAGAATCTGCTTTGTGCAAAAATAAATCCCCGAAAACATCTGTTTCTTTACTTTAGTTCATATGACATTATGGATCCGTGTGAGCATTACTGTATATCTGCTTTTATTATTTCTCTGACTTATTTTGGCTCAAACATCTTTATCTGGATAGTGACAGGATTTGCTGTGATCACCAAGTAATGTGTATCAGTTGTTGTGCTGTCTTCGCTCAAACGTATTAGCCAGACATGGAGAAAGGAAAGGAGTTTTTTTTTACACTTTTAAACAGTGCTTTTGGTCATTTGTCCAAAGGCAGCACACTTAAACTTAGAGGAACAGTTTTAATCATCTTTGCTTTCTTTGCAAGGGTTAAACGTGAGTGTTGTATTAAATGAACCTGTACGTTAAGTGTGCAGTTGTGTGCATTGTTGTGAATGTAGAGCAGGTTATGGTGACAGTGAGTAAAGCTTACACAGGCAAAGAGGGCAGCTCGGCTCCTTTAGGTAAAACGCAGAAGAGGTAAAGGCAGCACTTGATAGACCTAGCTGACTGTATGAAGCCACGCTGCAGTGAAGTGCTCGTGTTTCTGTGTTTTCAGGTAGTGATGAAAATAAGTATAAAGGCAGTGACACAGATGTATAATGGATGTGTAAAAAAGTAGCCGTAATGCAAATATGTTATTTAAATTGCATTTTTACGTAGTTTTGCCTTGATGTTAATTGATGAGTGTGCTGTGTGAAATATGGACTAATGCCTATAGCACAGCCACCTGTAACTTATAGTGAGGTGCTGAATATTGTCGGTGTGTTTAAGAGGTTAATTTGTTAGCTGATACACAAATATTTAGGCAGATCCATAAATGATTACACCTGGCCTGCAGTGTGGAGCCACCTGGCAGTGATGTGCTTGTGTTTCTGTATTTTCAGATCAAATGAAGTAAAGGAAAATTAAGGAAGTTATTTTTAACTTATGCACACCTGGTATTTTGCAGCTACAACTAGCAGTGGGCTAACTTAGCTTAGCACAATGACTGGAAATTGGGGGAAACAGTTAGCTTTGTCTTGAGCTCAACATTTAACAACTGATATCTTCTTTTTTTAATCAGTGTGAGTGTAAAAAGATGCATTCACTGTTTACTTTGGGGTCATATATCCGTTCTTAGTCATTTACCAACAACAAGTGGAGATTCCTGGAAGTTAATGGTAGGCTACCAAGAAAGGAAAAGTCTGGCAGAAAAAAAACTCATTGGTCAACGTGAAGAAGGCCAGTGTGGACAGAAACATTGCATTCATGACAGATTGATACCACCTTGGTGTGGACATGGCCTCCTTCATGGCTCCTGGAAGACAGCGAAAGGAAAGTGAAGTGTGAGGGCTAAACGTCCTGATCCCTGCTGACAGACGTCTGAACAGAGGACAGAAACTAGAGAAGAGAGTGAAGAGAGAGATAAAGAAACACTGGTGGCTGTGATTACATGCAGGAAATTACTCACCCATAAATAACTCTTAAAGACTCTTCGGCTGCAGCACGGACAAATCCATTATCCATTTATGCAACCATTTTTTATTATTTTCAATGTTTTATGCTCACAAGATTATACGGTTGGTAAATTGGGACATCTCTAAGGTTGTCCAATCACAACAGAGCCGGCCAGCTAACCAATCAGAGCAGACTGGGCTCTGGTTTCAGACAGAGGGTGAAAAGAGGTGCTGCAGCACAGGCACTTTGAGAAAAATAAAGACCTTTTTGAACATTAAAGCATGGAGACATGTCACAGTAGAGACACTATGAACCTGAATATAGGGCCCCTTTAAAGGTGATATCGTTTATGAATGAATTAACGTTTTTTATATTGGACAAATACATTGTAGGGTCATACCTATACAAAACATGTCTGTGAAATCTTTTGCTTAAAATCCCAAACAGATCACCCATTGTAGCCATGCCCTCATACTGCTCATACCCCTCTTTTGCAGCCCTGCTAGAGAAACGCAGATTTTGGGTCCTTAGCTTGAAAAAAAAAAAAAGAGGAGGCGGAGCTAATGCCTGATCAGAATTCTACCGGAGATAAAGTTAAATTCTGTTGTGATAAAACGCCATCCTGTTCTAAACCACATCAAGGATTATTTCTGAAGCAGTATGGAGCTCTAATGCTTTTTCTCTTGCAGGTTTATCACAAGGTGAGTTCTTTTTTTATTTCCTGCTTTTTAAACACATGTGCTCTTCAGTACATGTTAGCTCTGAGTGTTAGCGAGGCTAATGTAAACAAAGACGAGATTACGTCCAAAACACGTCAGGCATTGTTTCTGATAGCAACTTTCTGTGGGTCCGCCGCTGATTTGACGTCAGATCGGCAGCAAATCTGTATCCGCTCGTTGTACCCCTGTTTTTAAAAGATTTGGGTACGGAGGAAAAGAGAGAGGGTTTTATTCCCTGACGCACCGGGGACACATCTTTATGTATAAAAGACATCAAAAAGTGCATTTTGCATGATAGGTCCCCTTTAAGATTGTAATTGCCATAACTACACTGTAGCTACTCTGCATCTGACAACAAAGCCTTTGAATCTTGAGTGTTGAATAAGTACGCAAATTGAGACGGAGCATAAGAGACATTGAATGGCTTCTCTTCAGGCTCACCTGTCCGGCTCGGCCCAGCTCCAGCTCCATGAGGGCCACGGGGCCGCTGTGGGCTGGGTCCCCCCGGCTGGCCGCAGTGTGGAGGTCCACCCTCCAGGAGAGGCCCCTGAGACCGGGCTCCCAGCGGCTCTGAGACAGCAGACTCTCCCTCACCCGCACCCGCTGGCTCTTCCAGAAGCGAGAGAGGGCGGCGGCCTGCTCGGCACCCAGCCCCCCGCTGCCCTGCCTCTTCGTCTGCGCTGTGAGGAAGGCCTCCAGCTGGGAGGGGTCCATGTCTGCTGTGGCAATAGACTGTCAAGTCAAAGTCAAAGTCAACTCTATTGTCAATCTTTCAGTTTGTGTGTACAGACATAGAGATCGAAATACCGTTTCCCACAATACTGAATACAAAAATTCAAATATATATAAAAATATGAATATTTGTACATTTTACATTTCACATTGATATTCTATTTAATTTTGAATAATCCTTTCTTGCACAATAATATCCTGCATTATATTTGTTACTGGAAATTTGTATTTCCACTGGTATATTTTCCGCATGTTTTATTTTTTTACTTTTTTCATTTGTAATGCTATTTCATTTCTATTTCTGAAATATTTTAGACTGTTTATTTCTTGTGTCTTAATTTCTCTTAAGTACATTGCCTTGTGTTTTTGATGCTGCTGCAACACCAACATGTCCCAAATTGGGTTCAATAAAGTACCTATCTATCTATCTATCCATCCATCTATCCATCCATCCATCTATACACAATCAACAGACACATTTATACATATGCACATATGAAGACATAAATAAAAGCGCAACAATCAATATATACAAAATAACAGTCACTTCAATATCTTTGGGAAATGTATATTAGTGCAAGATTTTCCATAGTAGCGTAAAAAGTGTCTGGTGCTGTATTTGAGTGTCTGAGTGTGTGTGGGGTGTTATAGTCCAGTGGGTGAAGGTGCTTTACAAAGCTGGAGTTCAAACAGTGGCCGTTTCTCAATGTCGAGTAGACCTGCTCCAGAGCCACTATTTCAAGTATACTACGCCATCGAGTGGCGCTGAATGCTGGGCATTTAACATGCATTTAAACAGTCCTTCGGCGCCGTAATATACTTGAAATAGTGGCTCTGCAGCAGGTTTACTCGACATTAAGAAACGCCAGTGTGTCAGGGTGGGGGGTTATCAGGTCCCAAACGCAGAATGAGGAGAAGGGGTACAAAGTGTAACAAAAAGCTCGCCTTATTTAACAAAAGAAAAAACAAGAAAAAAACTTAAGTCCATAAAGCGGTAGTCGGACAAAATATCAACTGCATACTGTATACTTTTTTTCCATAAGGAGTTTACAGTAATTTGTCCTAATCGTGACAACAGTAAATGCCTTATTCCTAAATGTTATACAGAATTTGAAAGTATCTTTTTATTTGCACTTAACTTGTGTTATGAATTGATTGTTGTAAAATATTGTAAAGTTGTTTTCTTGGCTTTCCTTGATCTCATTCTGTGGTTAGAATGTAATGTATGTTAGTGCTGCCCCCTGCTGTCTACAGGTGAGACACACAGGCAAAGACTAATGTATGTAAACATCTCAGTTTTAATATGTTTTACCCATCACCATTTACAGTAGGCCTACAGATTCAAATACACTAGTTATTATTTAAAATCTACCTGTTGGATCAGCTTTACTTCAGATCATCTTCACATTAAACTATTCTGATACTCTGTTCTTTCTTTAGCAAATTAACATTACCTTGCACTGCCCTCATTCTAGGTACCGGTACTTCCTTATGTACTTTTTTGCACAATAGCTTGCATAGTAATAAACGGACATTGCACATATTCTTTCTAATGTGTTGTAAATATAAACCTCAAATTTGAAGTAGGCTAAATGCAAGTATTTACTTTCCACCAATTTTCTGCTTACTGCTCACACTAAATGTATAAACTGTTAAGTACATATTTGTAGTTATTATATAAATAACGCTCATTTATGTGAACACAGAAAAATAAAACATTATATTGTGGCTGATATTTCTGCAGTAGGCTACATTCAGGATGGAGTTTCGTCTGCCCTACCTTAATGAGGGCTTTCATCTTTTCATGCAAAGCCTTGAACTCCTCCTGCGACAGCTCGGGATACAACTCATCTTTCAGCAGCTCCTCTGTGATTTCGCTGTTGCTATAATACACTTTTTGAGCTATTCCATTCAACAGTCCGCTCAAAGATTTCGATGCCTCTACATCCGCCATGTTTGCTTGTCAGTGGTCACATGAAGCAGGGGTGAGTCATAATCACGTGAAGTCTGGCACAAGATGGCATTGTGGGAGTTGTAGTTTTACAGTGCTTGAAACGTTAAACTGCTTTTTCTTTATTTTTTTCCACAAGGGCTTAAGGTATTATTCAGATAACGGTATATATATATTATTAACAGTACACGTGAAGGCATTTTTAGATTCGATTGGCCATTCTAACCAGCTTCACTTTTA